TGGAATTACACTGGATATGTCAATGTTGTTCTCTCCAATTGCCATGTAAGTTTCTATATTAATAATTAACATAGAGTAAGATTTTATTTTAACAGAGCTGTAGTGATTCTGAAATGCACCGACATAAGCCTAATAATATGACTTCAGTCTATAATATTGTAGATCATTGTTAGAGAAAATTGCATAACAGTCAGAACATGCTACTACCAATTCTATTTTCCAATGAAACTGGCTCCTACTCCAACTTCACCAGGCTTTCCTTTAGAACATACATCAACATTTCACTTAAATTTATGGAGTTCAGATTTTTCCCACTTGATTGTTTAAATCTGAAGATTTTGTTTCACCTTTTTCAATAATGCATCAGATATTATCTATCTACTTCCTATCAAAAGTTATACCAAAAAATATATAGTATGGAACACTTTATAGCTGACATATTAATTACTTCAAAATTTGCATTACACTTTGCCTTCAATAGTTTTCAACATATCACAAAGGGAATGCATTGCATCATCACTTGTTGAATGCTCTTAGACTAAAAAGATGATGCATAACTTTGGGATGAGCAAAATGATAATTTTTCCTTGGTAGTTCCACACTTGAATGAGTCGAAAAAACTGACTCATCAATTATAGTATATAATATATTAAACAAAAATGAAATCATAATGTAGAAAGAGGGAAATCTAAATCTTGAATAATGTGGAGCCAAAAGAATTGGAGGGGAAAATGATAGATTGTACTCACTTTGATGTCTAAATACCTCACACATATTAAAATGAAAATGCAATATAAATCACGAAACACACAAATAACATAGTGAATGTCATTATTTTCTCCCTCCAAGATTTTTTTGAGTGTCATTGAAATAATGTAGTGTAATTGTTTCTACATTTCAGCAACAATTTAAGTATAAAACAACATCAAATTCAAGGTTAAATCAGACAAGTTTGAACATTCCATAGAAGTCTACCAACTTCAGAAACAAGAAATACTCCACAGATGCAATTCATTAACTGTACAAACATACCTGAGATAAACAGTGAAATTTTAATGGTACAGGACATATTCTCTAAGCAATGATATTTCACACATCCCATGTATGCCATTATGATCTTTTCAGCGTGGCTATCAATCAAGATTCTCAATAACACTCCTATACAAAAATTAATCTGCAGATTAAAGAGACTTCAACAACAAAACAGAAGAACAGAACAAATAGAAAGGTGTACATGACACATCAATTTATAAGTAATTGAGAGTTGGGGATGGGAAGTTTTGAAAATACAGCGAGTCCAAAGTTTTTGAGTTCAAATAACTCATTTGAATTCTAAGGCTATATACAATGTCATCTTTTGATATTTCACCGTTTTTGCAAGAAAACAAGAATAGAGAATGGGGATAAGTAAGATTGAGAAGATGATATGTTCCATATGTACATGGGATGTTTGGAGGATATTTGAGCCAAATTTGGCACTTAGCCCCCTGGCCAATCTATCGGATTTCACAAAAGACTATTTTATATCCATTTGCTTTTTCTTTGGTAAAAGTCACTTACATATGAACAATCCGACCTCTAAATCTGCATCCGAATTTGAATACGATATGAATGTTGGTGTGAAATCCGAACAACATAAGTGTC